TAAAGACTTGCTGAGGTCAAATATATGAGAGACTGGAGAGGTGCCAGAGAGTAAGGCAGGGCATCAGAGGAGTAAATGACTGACAGAAGGAAGCTGATAAGGTGACAAAGACAACTGGGGAGAGGCTGGGATCTAGTTAGGATTGTCAAAGTCCTGACAAAGGACTTTCTGCAAAGCTCTCAAGAAGAAATTGTTCCAAGGCTTTACCCGCCTGAAGCTCACTGATCAATGTCCTCGCAGGAGGAAATACAGCTACCAAGGAAACGAGTTCTACCTCACATTACTGCTCCTGAAATAAAAGCTATCTTCAGTTCCTGTATCTGAATACATGTCGTTACAGCACCACGATACTTTAACTATACTCTCTTCCACGTTGGCCAGCTTTGCAGCAATCTATTTCTTGCCAAAATAACGTCTCTGGACCTCACTGGTATTAGAAGTATTTAACTCTTCTGCAAGGCTTCTATTTATTGGGTAACTTTTCTTTTTTTTTGAGTGCTTGGAGAAGAACATCTGAGAGTATTTAAATACGGAGCACTATGATGCATTAAATACTAACTAACACTATTGATATAAATCTCCTTTTCCTGTAACGTGCTTTAAGCTCTCTGCTCCAAGATGTAGATGCTGCAGAATACTGTTTGTGCAGATGGCACAGTTTGGCTTTCTCCATCTGCTTAAGAGCCACTTGGTTATCCTTGTTCCAAACCAATAAGCATTCCATTTCACCATCCCAATAACATCATTCTTGCTTTTAAGAACAAAACAAAAAAACAAAACCCAAAAACATACCCCCCAAAAAGCCAGAAATCCCACATGTTCTGCATCATCTGGCAGTCAATAACCCTCCCAGTGTTTGCACACTCCTGCTCTGGATTCAGTCCTTCACACTCTTTGCATATCAGGTTAGCTGTCTGGAGGAGGCCCGTTCCTCCAACCTGGGTTTGTTCAACATCAAATTTCACCACAGAGATCTGGAACACTTTATACTCCCACCTGTTTATCCAAGATAAAAATTTATGCAGTCTGACTCCATACCCACTCCTGTTGTCCCACTTCTGTCCGTATTTTTATTGGTTTGCTCCAGTGGGTTGGTCTGACTTAAAAGAAATGAGGGAACAAAGTAAATGTGGACTTGAAGATAATGCCAGCAAGATTTTGGACCTTGAAAGCATTTCTCATATCTGCTTATTTTTACTGTAAAATATTCCCCAAAGGGAATAGGCATAAATACAGAAACAACTTCAGCAGAAAAGACTCTTAGAAACTTAACAGCAAATGTCTACGTCTACAATAAAACTTGCTTTTATGTTTTCAGCCTCTTTAAAAACTTTCTTGTAGCCTGTTCTGTTACCGTTACTCACATTAGCTATCTTGTTATGAATATTTAAGAAGTCTCACAGGAAATTATGGGCTTGGGATTCAAGTAAGATGTCCTGCCTGTTAATCACCATGGAGTGACACCTTCCTGATACTGCCTGCTAGAGCAGAGAGGTAACTTGTCTTTTGGAAGTTACACTGAAAGGGAATAGTACCCATGCATACAGATACACACACCCATGTATACTCCTCTCCAGCTTCAGCAATATTAGGCATGTTAACAAAAAAAAGGTAGAAAAGGAGAAACACAGACTACAGTATCTGAAGGAAAGACATCTAACCCATTACGAAAAACACTGAGAATATGAGAATTTAGAAGATTACAACGAATTATGTTATTTTAGTATTTGAAAGGAATGACAGAAGCATGGATATACAGTTCCACTTTCTAAAAATACAAATTGTAAAAAACATAAACCTGTATTTTAGTTTTTAAGTAAATGTGCATTTGAATATCTGTGGTTGCACATGAGTTATTACTGTACACTCACAAATTTTTGCAGAGACAGGCAATTTTGAGAACTGCTTATAAACATTTCTATAAAAAACTAAGGCCTTTCCATATTTTAATAATATACTTCTTACGTTAAAATTCAGAAGCCATATGAAAAGTTCACGACTTCTAGTTAAAAAATAAGTAACGGAAGCACAGTAACATTTACCCAAAAGGAAACTAAAAAACCAGTCCATAAGCCACCATTTCCTATGACAGACAAATTCCTAAGAGAAGAGATCACCCTCACTATCTTAAACCTCAGCAGAGCTCATATTCCGCAGTTTAACATGAAAAACAAATGTCTTTCATGTTATAATGCTCTACCATCAGCCCTGAGATATTCCAGTCTAAACACCAATAGCTACATTTCTCAACTAACTTTCACTACTCCGATCATAAATCTTTCAAACAGCCCAGATTATTATAATACATGACAACACATTTCAGTCTCTGCCTCTTTAGTTATATTGGTGACTATGAAGCCAACACAACTACACAAGAACTAACCTGCTAAACTTAAAGCTTGCCTCTTGCTACACTGATTATATTATAATAATCCAACCTAAATGCTGTTGTAATGTTATATACCACACAAAGACCCCAAATGCCTACTTAATTAACTTCTTGATGTGAGAGCACTTTAAATTCCAGCAGTACTCAGAGATTCAAAACACTCCAATTTTAGTAATTCCCAGTAAAGGTAAGCGAATTGGTACAGTAAGACAAAAGCACTTCTACTGTAGCCCCAAAGTCTACCACAGAACATGATGAATTTGACAAAAAGGGTCACTTTTCTTCAGGCCCAAACACATCAGTATCAGCTTGAGCTGCAGTTTTCTAAACTATTGTGCAAAACAACTACTGTGCTAAAAATATGTTGTTACTCAAACTTCGAGATATTCTCTCCAGAGATAGGACTTCCTGATAGGAGATTCAAATTAATAGGAAGTGCTCTTCCTGTGTTTTCTAGGCTGCTAGGCTAATGAGTTTGTTTTCAATGCCTTTAAAAAAAAGGAGCAGATTAACCAACTGATTGGTGTTGACCACTTTAAAGAGCAGTGACCTTGTATACAAAGTGCAAGTGCAGTAGAACGCATACTTCTTTACTCTGGCACAATGCTTTTGCAAGTTTGGTTTCCCCTGTCTTTGTGAAGGAATTCGTACAGGAATTGCCTTGAGACCCTGTGAGTTGTCGACTTCTATTTTACTCTGCACATAACTGATAGGAATGCTTGTGAAGGAGCTGAGTACAACGATAGACCCCAGCTTTCATGAATGTTATTCTTAGGGAGGGAAAAAGTGAACAGCTCTGGCCGTGTGTATACAGCTATGCCAAACCTAACTAACTCACTCCAACTACATAAAAACACTATATAAATTCAGCACTCAACTTGAACTGTAACAACGGAGCATATACTCTGTAGTATAGTACAAGAAAAAAGTCCTGATTTACGATTAGAACTTCGAGATACTATGGCAAAGTGACAATCAATACCAATATTGAAGAAAAAATTATTGCAAATTACAATCAGCTAACTTTACAGGTCAGTATACTGTATGCTTTGCGTGCAGCAAAAACATGGAGCCAAAAGGCTGAAATACACACACATATGTAATTTTCTTTTTAATACTAATTACACATTTGATTTTGCTTCGTGAGGGATAAGAGGAAACTAGACAGCTCCAGCACGCAGTCGCACTAGGAATTTCAACAGCCTCTTTTCACCAACTAGGATAAGTTTTTCAAACTTTTTCATGTGGACAAAAACCCCCACCCATCATTAAAGAAGGTTAACAGTATGGACTTTGACAGACAGGATCCTCCTGCCTTCTCACTGAATAAACCAGGGTCCTGCAAGACTCTGGTTATGGCAACATAACCAGATGAATACGATAACCATCTGCAATGACTTTGGCAAATGCAAATGGAGAAACAAAGCATTTTTAACCTGGTAATAAGCTTTATCTTTCCTACTTCAAAGTTAGATTCCTTAAAACATATACAGCAGTTCAAATCTAATAATTAAACTTCATATACGTAGACAAAAAAGATTTCCATATTAATACAAATTTATTTCATCCTGTCTTCCCCAGTTAATTATCATCATCATCATCTTTACTGTAAACATTCCTGCTCTTCGATAGCTACTGATATTTAAAAAAAAATTACAATAAAAGAACTTATGAGTAATTGATCAGAGAAATTACCATTTTCATCCAGGATCACTAAATTAGCATTATATACTCTTTCAGAAAATTGAAAGAAAGGTGAGACCTCCACTTGTGAAAGATCTTAAACTCTCCACCTGACAAAGTTGCTGATAGCGGCTGAACAGTAAAAATCAGGACAGGTTCTCAGTAACTGCTATCAAACGAAGCTGTAGCACTCTAGTGATGAGAAGTGGGAGATACAGCCCTGTAATCCTGTGCCTGACCACGTATTCAAGTAAATATTAAGTACTTCACTCTCCTTCATGGAATGCTTAAACTATTTGACTTATCTTTCTTTTAAAATGTAAATACTAAAAAAAAATTGGAAAGAAGTCAGACTAGTCAGAGATGAATCTTCCAAACGTTCCAAATGTATTTTGTCCTTTTGAATTTCAATAACAGCATCAATCTCAAAAGAATCTGACTGTTTTAAGGTCTAGCATCGAAAATTTTATTTCACAGTATGTTCACACACAAATAGGCATCCCCACCTATTTTTCTAATAATTTGAATTTTTTTTTTTCCACATGTAACGTTAATGGCAAACCTTAAGCAGTAAGGTTCTGCTACAGATCAGAAGAACTGCTTAACTGTGCTCTGGCCAGGAAATGGCCTGGAAGGAAAAAGACAAGGGGTAAGTAAAGTCACAGTCAAACAGCAGCCTGCTGTTAAACCTCTGCCCTGTGACAGACCCTCCAGGCATCTTGTTAGCAGCAGCCCTCTTTTTCAAAGCAGCAACTTAGTGTTGTCAAAGCACCAAAAAGGGACAGAATTAAAGACAGGACTGGAAGATGCCTTTTCTTCTGAACTTTGAGTATAATTTATGTGATGTAACTTTTTCTGAGACTTTCAGTACATTTCCTAAAACAGAAAGGGGAAAAGCTTCAGCTACATAAACAAACAAGAATCTCACCTTGTTGTGTTCATACTTGTATGGGATTTTGAGGGTATCCATGGCTCTGATCATGGCCTGCATTGCTGTAAATATATTCTGGTACACCAGTTTTGTAAAGCCCCTTTTGTCTTCATCGGAGTAACCAGATCCATGAATGATTCTCATCTGCTTGATGAATGTGCTTTTGCCACTCTCTCCTGTGCCTGCAAGACAAATAAGAAGAATATGCTTCAGCCACTGGACACAAACACGACGACTTTTTAACACAATGCTGACAGCTTGTTTAGCGCAGCGCTGAACAGTGCCAAGTGGTGCTTGCAAGGTAACTACAAGGACCAGTGCATTGTCAAACAGCAGCATCAGTAGCAACTGAAGTACCACTGAATTCAAACTTGCATTTTTATTTAACAACTAAAGAGCAAAACAAAATTCCAAAACATACATACAACATATGACTGCATATTTTAAAATCCTCCATTCCTGAAGCTACAATTGTCCAATATATCTAAATTTACTATGAGACATTTTATCACAAAAACTCAAGAAGAAAGTTTATCTTCCTTGGTCAACTTTCAGGACATTATGGTAGGCAGTGTACAAACAATGCATTTGTGCATTTGGGGCTTTTTGCCGCCCCGCCCCCCCCCTTTTTTTTTCCTCAGAAACATGCGATATCAGTGTTAATTAAAATTTGGCTCCCATTCATTAATGGGCATTCTTTCCTTCCTTTAAATTTCTTTGCGTCTTTGTACTAGAAGTATTATTTTAATGAACATTTCTGACTATCTGTCAATTTAAAGTCAAGATCTGCTTCTTGGAAATTTTACCCAGGATACATCATTTAGCATTCTTCCTTTGCTCGAATTCAGTGAGCTCACCCTCTGTGACTAGAAGAGCTTATCTGTATTATTCCTGTGTTTGCTTAAAAGGAGGAGCTGAAATTCAGAATGAGCAGTTGCACAGCCACATAAACCCTGCTTTCACCCGGCTACTCGGCCCTGCAGGAAGAAAAACTCATGCACCAAAGTGCATTGCTCAGTGCTGTGCTTTTCAACCTTTCAGCCTGGTTTTATTTTAACCATTTCTGTACAGCTTTCATGCCTCACACCGCAACACTCGTGTCCCAGGACAGAGGCAGCCTTACGCCCCTTGCATGACGTTTTAGGTGTCTTGTCAGAGAAGTGTTTCACAGCAGAGCAGTGCAAGGTTAGAGAAGCAACCCTTAAGCATTTCTGAGACTCTGCAAAAATCTGAGCTGGAAGCCTCTAAGAGCTTTTGCCTTTACCATGAGCATCATTTTGAAAGCTTCAGCCCCATTTCCTCCACGTATGAACCAAACTTCTAACACAAGTCTTCCTTATGCACACATTCCCAGAAAACGAAGCACAATAGTTACATACCAACCAGTTTACTTTCTCTGGGGAGAAAGTCGTTATTATCATAATGGAGAAGAACACGCTGTGAGGCTGAAAAGTGAGACCAAATCTGCTTCCCCGCTCAGGCTTCACAGGGATCCTCAGCCTGCACTGTGGCCAGGAGCGCAGCACTACGTGTGCGGGCCACCTTGGCAGGGCACTGCCCACCCGCCTGGCAGAACCTGCCCCATGCAACCCGACGAATTATTCGGGCAAACCCGGCATGGCTCTTTGTGGAAAGGATGATGTAGTATGTATGGGCCATCCTGGGTGAACAATATCTGCCTGCCTTCCAGTTTAGCAGAATCAGAGGCGAGATCTTTACGCTTCTGCAATCTACCAGTGGGAAGAAAACACCACTTTCCTGAAGACTGTACAAAATTACAAAACTAATCAGTACAGAACTATCACATAGTAAAAAATACTTTAGGCTACCCTTAAGACCATCACCGGTTTTCTCTTTTTCTGAAACCTATGAGAGTCAGTCATGTCCTTATGTATGAAGTGAAATAAAGTGCCACACCTCACAGTTTTTAGTAATTCTGTAATACTGTGCAGCTTTTCTGCAAGATACATCACACGTTTAGTACAAAAGTCTATTCAACATGAACCTGTAAAGCGCAGAATGGTATGAGATGCATTTTTGACACTATTAACTCTTTTACTAAAGCTTCTGCTCTGCTTTAATTAATGCATAAGAAAATAATTTCCACCAAACAACTCTGAATCAATGGACTACAAAATGACTTTGAGTTTTGGTCCTGACGCTTCCCTTCACAGGAATACAGATTCCTTCAAAGTCTTCAAATGCAAATTTAGCATAGAGGTAGAAGAACATGCTTGTGTTACCTACTCTGTTTTAAAACCTGAGGCTTCTAGTTCTTCTAATTCTTGATTGGGAGCATAGGTAGCAATCGATAGCACACACGACAATCACAAGGAAGAAAATATAGCGGTAGAGCAATCTGCATCTTGTTAGAGAAGACAGTAGTTCAGATTATTTACACCTTGAAAGTGCATCTATAAAAACTGCAATATGCAGGAAAACAAAATTAAAGTCCAAAGATGAATCCATAACTTAAGTCTGCATTTTATTCAGCTTTGTAGTTCTGTAATTGGGTGTCACTGTACTAAGACTTTGTCCACCAGAGACCAGTAACGAATTACACTTGGAGATCCGAAGACATGGATACACACACACTACATGAATTTTTATATATCTTTTCATATGTGTATGTACATGAAAAATAGCTATTGTGTATACAAATCTGTATAACTACTCTTACATATAAGAAAATGGTGTCTCTCTCTTTTTGAGGGCCACCTGAAAGTTTCCTCAAGTCTGTCCCTCCGCAGGTCAATGCTTAAACCTACTTTCTTGTGCCTGCCCACAGACTAATCTTCCAGTTAAGCCAGCAGCAATGACAAGGACATTTCTAGTCCTCCTTAACAGCATGGAGTGTCACATGCACGGGGCAAAGTGTGAAAAGTATCTTGGTGAAAAAGGAAATAATGGAAAATCTCCAGCACAGAATGCACGAAAACAGGATAAAAGAACATGAATTACACATAGTAAAACAATTTACAGGACTGCCCAAAAATTACTAAGAAGTGAAAATGTTCACTTTCAGCACAATATGCAGGAACTCACAAAAACTTCACACTGATAGTTCCTCTTAGATTGTTACGATCAAGGGCAGAAAATAAGTATTTTTATATTGTTGCTGACAGGAAATGCACAAAGAAAATTTAAACAGTGGCATCACACCTTTCTGTAAAAAACCCCCCACAAACCTGTTTACATGAACATTGCTTAATAGTGATAAACTTCACTCACAAGCATGTCACTAGAGTGTTGGTCAGATACTTTTCCTGAAACTGAAATAACTGGGAAGAAAACAAGCAATGTTATTTACTATCAGAGAAACAGTGAAAATTTTGGAATAAGGAATTACCAGGGCTGGCTAAGCAAAGCTGCAATCCTTACATTATTCCTGATGGGGAGTGGAATTTAAAACTACCCCTGTTACAGCCCTGGGTTAAACCTCGAGCTGATCATTTTTATAAATTTTTTGGCTTTTAAAATCCCATGATTGGGATTATAAGAAGATCAAGACATTGACTGATACAACACCAACTGTACTTTCTACAGCCTCATCCATTACAGAGAAAGTGAAGAAAGACAACTTGGCATCGTGTGTCTAAAACCCTACCTATCACTGTAATAAACAAAAACAACACTGGATGATAGGCTGAACAGGACTCTTGGGTGGGCCTGTTTCACCTGGTGAAAAGAAGAAAACTTGAACGAGGAGAAAAAAAGTCTGCATGTCCTGGGAGCGTCCGAATGCTTCACAGCTTCTGCTAACCGCTGCTTCTACCACCATCATCCCAGGAATACCTCCAGCTGATCTAAGGAGAGCGCAAAGGGGAAACATCAATGGAGAGGATCAACAGAATAGACCAAGGTGGGAAAAAACTATACTGAGGTCAATTTTCTGCTGGATGCTGTTGCACATTTAAATTAGTCAAGACTTGGATCAGTTCTCTGAAGCCAGTCAAGTAATATCTTCTCGTCCATCAGAAGACAGTTGAAGGCCACATAACATACCCGAATCTCCATAATAACAACACCACCACCCTCCCTCCTCATCTTCTAAAAACAGCGGCTTTCCGAAAAAAACCACGATCCTAATATAACCCCTGGGTGGTACTTTGAAGAGAAGTGGATAGTGTGACTGGAGAAAACAAACAAACAAACAAAACAAAACCCAAAACTTCCTGATTCAAGCACACAGTATGGTTGGTCATTTGACTTTTTTTTTTTTTCCATTTCTTTCCAGATTAACAAAAACAACCTAACTGATGAATTGAAAGAATTAACTGTCTAAGGGCAGTAAAGAATTATCTCAAATAGTGATGAATTCTTATTCTCGCATGGCATAAAGGATTATCAAAACTTATAAGAGCTTAGCATCATACAACCTGGCAAACCTCTGAAGACCTCCCCAAAATTTTTTCTTCAGATGATAAAAGCAACAAATATTACTGCATCATCAAGAACATTACAACCAGAGATCTGAAAGTCCCCCCAGCAGTATTATCTCTAAAAGCAGAACCAGGAAGGAAGCCAAGTTGCCTAAATGCAGCAGTAATTCCTTACGTGCATGCTTGCAGACACATACATACATATGATGCACAATTTATTGTATTATTACTACTAATCCTGGTGCACATCCTACAAAAATGAAACTACAAAATGTTGAAACACAACATTCTTTACCCCTTGAAACTTCTGGAAAAACTTAACACATAGTTAAATATGTGACAATGCAGCTACTGGCAGAGTGGCTTCAAAACTCATGTGGCAGCTGACAAGGAAGATACAGGTGACTAATTAAAAAAATAATTCAAGCCTAGAATCCTAGGCAGACGAACTTTTGTTTCACATGGGTGCAATGCATACCTGTACTTGTTTTCGCATTTCTCTGCATTGTAGCTTAAATAAATCTGAAGTATAATATGTTGAGCAATCAAATGTAAGTTTGTTTTTAAACTAAAGCAACAAAGGTACCATTCTCTAAGCAAAATCCACGCTGGCATCTGTTAAGAAACGAAATGCTGCTAAACTGTACCTGATTCTCCATGTTTATTCCTAAGTTTGACCTATGAAAAGGCAAGGAAAAAAGGCTGTATTTTACTGTTTGACATTTCATACTTAAATTAGATAGAAAAAGACACTCTTAAGTATGCAAGAAAAAAAAAAAAGCCATCGACATCCAC